AGGCTGGACTGTCAGATTTTTTTTTTTGCGCCAAAAAACAAAAATGAGAGCGAGAGCGAGCGGGAGAGAGAGAAGTGCAGAGAAAGACACCAGTGTACTTCTGCACACGCAACAGCTATCTCCCCCTGTAGGCCATGAGAGAAGCCGGCGACAGGGTGGTGGCCACAGACAGGGTCGTAGAAGGGTTGGTGGGTGGTCGCGCTGCGGTCAGTAGGGCAGGTTAGCTGTGTAGCCTTTGAAATGATCAGTCGTCTAGCTGCCTCAACTAGTCTATTTTCGGTATATTGTAAATGATCAGTCCAGAGAGGGCAAAATGATCAGTGAAGACCCATAGCTGGTATTTGTACTTCTGTACTTCTCTGTTCTCTGTCCCCCCCCGAAATGTGCCCTGCCAACTCTCTAGAGCTCCTGTGTTTTTCAAACAACAAGCACATCCACCAGCACACACCTGTACCTCGTGGTTTCCTAGGTTCGGGCGAGGGTGGTATGTGTGGCGCTACGAGTGTGGATGTGTTGCTGATATGTTTTACTCGTCTACAGCAGTAGTAGTGTTGTTGTAGCGTTCGTTGTAGCTGTTGACACAATGACTGCTGGATCTTCGGAACGATTTTCAAATTGTTGGGAACCACGATATCCTCGATATCTGGGCTTCGGCGGCAGGGACTGCAATACCCCTCCCTTTTGCTGTCCTCTGCTCTTTGCAGCAGTGGCTTCCTACGTTCGCGCGAGTGTATGTGTGGTGCTGCGAAAGAACACATATGTATGTATGTATGTACTGTATGCACACACGAGTTCATTGACATGTGCATACGTTGAGAGATTCATGATTTGGCATTGATTGGCCCCATTCCCATTCCCGAGACCTTGACATTACCCGCTGTCACTGAAGTCTCTTCATTGGTCAGCCGGTTAGCGCGGGTGCTAATAATCTAGACACACCTACCTATGGACTTGCCAATACACGGCGCGAAGGGCTGCAGGGCGGCAACTCCACGACTTGCCACTACACCAGCATGTGCAAATGATCAATCAATGATCAGTGAGAACGCCTGAAGACTCAAAAGGGTTAAAAATAAAGTATTTCCACCGTGCGCAAAAAAATAAACCCGGAAGACGAAAGATGATCCGCATTTGGCCGTGTATCAAAAACCGTTCCGATCTCTCTCTACCCAGTACCCTCATATGTCCGTACTGATCCAACACTTGACGCGGTCGATTCCCGTGGTCACAGGCTAACTTACCCTAAAAAGGTATGCTCAAACAAACTGGCCCCGAGGGGTCCGCAAGTCAACAGAAATCAACGACAGATAATCTGGAGTCCTCCACTCCCTCTGGGAGCTATGCGAGGCAACAACTGAGGCTAGGAGTCAGCATCACGGGCCAGAGAGAAATAGGTACACCCCCTTGGTTCAATCTTGGTGCTTCACACGCAAGCAGAGACAAGGCCATCTGACACAGAAAAAGAGAGAAAAAGAGCACAAGAAGAAAAAAGAAAGAAAGAGAAAAAATATATATAATGAAACACGAAGAAAAAGAGAAAAAAAAAAGGAAACGAAGAAAGGAAACGAAAACGAACAAGAGCGAGGAAAAAAAGAGACCAGGCCGAAAATAACAAGAAATAAGAGACAGACTAAGGCACACGGTGGAGAGACCACTAACGAACGAACAAGCAAACACTCAGACAGACATGGCCACCAACCAGCGATACATGGTAATGGTAGCGTCATCATTAGTGGGGGGTTGGTGCAACGGCGCAGCGTTGGGGGGGGGGTGTACTCATGGTCGTGCTTGCCGTAGTCGTTAGACCGTTGACCTCGCATCCCTACAAAACCGGGACGGAGCACGCCGGGTTCTCACTGGACCAAGCTCTCACATCACCAAACGCGAGGCGCCGTGAGGTATTCGGCGAGTCGCATGAAGGGTGAGCTGCATCCTGCGAAGGGTGTTCGGCATCTTGTGCTTACTTCCTTGCCTACGGATGACAGCTGCGTATGACTTACTTTATTTTCTGGTGCTTTCACTTCCAGAGACAGTTGTAAGCACTGTGTGACTGCCTCGAGGATCTTGACCATTTTAGGCGATGTATGTAGACTAAATATGCAGCATACCGCAAGTCTACAGTATACTCCATACAGGAGATGTATTGCAAGATGTAGGCTACCTTTACAGATGTTTAGGTACTTAGCACCAGCTGGTATCACTGATATAACTCATCAGTGTATAGACTTAAATAGACTCGAAATATGTCCAATACCCAGCCGATTTCCCCCCCCCCACTCACTGAAAAGACTCCACCACATCCCGTTCGAACGTGGGAAATCTCGAATGGGTAGCCTTTCTGTTTATGTATTTATTTTTCCTAATACCTCATCTCTCTATGCAGATAGATGTACCATATCATGTGTCCAGGAGAATTAGCAGAAGTACAACATACTGCTGTAGTGTAGTCTACAGCAGTACCTGTGTTTCTACGATTCCCCGAGCAGCATACAGAAATATTCTCCTCTTGTGGGGAACGCGAGCTTTACAACACAGACAGTTCGTTCGGTGGCCATCTTGTGCACCACCCACCACGTCGCTATGTAGCTGACTGAGCGATGAAAGTACGCGAGAACCAGTGGAAAAATTATCACCCCGCCGCAGGCAACGGTAGGAGACCAAAATTCCATCGCTCGGAATCCTTGAGCCAAAAACCTTTTTAGAAAGTACACATAATCTCACATGAAGACCACCCGTTCGAAAAAAAACTCTCTTTCTACAAGCAACCCATTAGCGAGACACGCACACCTCCACCCTTAGCGCAAGAATCTCTCGCACGAACCTAAAAGGGCAATCTGGTTCAACAGAACGGAAACCAAAAGTCTAATGTCGACCCATCGGAAAAACGCTTCCCACGTCTCGGTAACACGTTATTTCGGGTGCACCACCAATATCATACCAATCAACCACAAGGCAGGCGTCCCACGGGTTTCGAATGCTCTCTCGCTTTCGCCACACTGTGATGCTTGCAAATCATGGCTGTTTCCAAACCCAGTACAGTCGGGTGCCTTGTGTAGTGCGGGAGGTATAGTGCGGGTGCCCGGTATGGTGCGGGTGGAATTCGCTGGTACAGATGGGATGATCAAGATGGGCAATCAATTGAATAATACGGGTGCCCGCTCTACCATAGTGCGAGTGAAAGCGCTTGACACATACCCGCACTGCTCTAGAGGGCACCCGACTGTATCCTCTGATCCACCCACACAAAAACGGTACTGCTGAATGTAGTTGTATCCTTTCTATGCATAGCAAATGAATGAGGAGCATCGCGTAAAACGAGATTTCTTCTCGTCGACACTGGTTCATTCTGTCTTCCGCGAGCTTCCTCCTCGTCTCCACTATACAATCACAGCATTATCACGGCCGGATTATTTCATGGAGTCCCGACCGAATTTATTACTTGTGTCGACGTCGAAATGTCCTCAGGGTACTTCGCTGGCCTGCTATCTTCCAGCTTCATGTTTGGTCGTGTGATCTCGGCATACTTCTGGGGGATCGTTGCCGATCGGTGCGGCCGTCGCCCGGTCGTCTTGCTCTCGCTGGCATCTACGGGAGGGCTCGCCGTGGCCTTCGGGTTTTCAACAACGTTCTTGTGGGCCCTTGCTTGCAGGTAGGTGCCTCAACCCTGGCTGGCCTCGATCTCGTGAACGTCCAGCTGCAAAAGAGTGTTCTTACGTTTTGCAAACATTAGTCAAATCTCTTGAATCTTGAATGAAACTGAGATAATTGTACAGCACCGCTATGTGTGATGAAAGCGGTCTACTCTCTGTTTTCTTCGCGGAGAGTAACGTGCACCCGAGTTTCCCGAGGAAGTTTCGGGAGAGGCTGAACTCGAACACATTAGTAAGTGCCCGGCAACAGGTTCGCATGAAGTTGTGTTTGATGTAGGAGTAACTCTGCGTGACGAGAGAACCGACTTCATTCTTTTACATCCTGTGGGCGTTCTCAGGCGGTAGTAGAATCGATCTTGATCGGGGTTCATGCGCTGCAAACCACCATTTAGTAGGCTTTGTCCCTCTGTTGTGCTCGTCGGGTACGAACTGGTTTGTCCAACAAACCTGTATTGTAGAGCTTGAAGTGATGGTTCCGCAATCGCTAGACTACCTCTAGGATTCCGGTGACATGCAAGCTTTTCATCGCACACTGCTCGGGTTGTTCAAGAATGCAAATTGGTAGTCCACTCGATGGGTGTGATGGCCGTTGAAGGCACGGAATCATCGACGACGACTATGGCGGCGCCGGTGCATCGCTCACACGTGGCCGCTTGTCTTCAGGTTTTTGTTGGGGCTGCTGAACGGGATGACGGTAATTTTTCCAACACTCGTCTCGGAAATCTGCGGCAAGGAGCATGAAGTCGTCGGGTTGGGAGCAGTGACAAGTGAGCCTGTCGCGTGTAGGCGTGGTACAGTACCAATACCTGATGCATCGTAACGTCTACGTCGAACTACGGAGCCAACTGGGTTGTTCGGTGATCCGCCTTATATCGTCCGTGCTTCGCGGCCTTTGTGTGCGTTTGTGGCTTTCTATGTGTCCTCAAGGTTGTTTATTTATGTGTGAATCCGTTCTCTTGAAACCGCGATACTCCGATATCAGAAGAAGCGGGAGCGTGTTGGGCACAAATATCAGGTCACCAGGACTTGTTGAGAGGGTTTTATCAAGCATAACCTACCCTTCACCGACGGCACATATCTCTTAAGTCAAAGAAGCTTGCTGCAAGCGCCGTCAAACAAGCATATCTCAATACCATGTCGGAGACGGAGGTCAATCAAGAGCCAGCTAGACTACCTGGTGTATGGAAACCAACACGTTGATCAAACCCACTTCTCAGCGGCCTGGTCTCTCGGCGCACTGCTGGGCTCTGGGCTTTGCGGCGTTCTTGCGGAGCCGGCGGATCGCTACCCTTCGATTTTCACGGAGTCTGGCGTGTTCGGGAGGTGCGTAAGCGTCAAAATGTTGAGAGTCACACAACCCCCCCGGAACGTGCCTTCAGTAAGCTCTACCACGTGTGGCACATAGCTACATAGCGGCATTTGTATGGGGGGGCTAGTGAGATAGGCGTGCCCCCTCCGCGCCGTGTCACAGCACGTTTTTTCCCCCCGAGCGACACATGGCCCACCGCCCCTTTGGGCGACGAATACTGGGAAATACCGTGCGGACTTCCTCTCCCGCTCGTCCTTATGACAACATCGAAGCAACGCTCCGCACTATCCCGGGATATTGTTGTCTCACCCAGACTCTCTGAAATATCGGGCCGAATGTAGTCTTGCAACGGACGTGGCCCCTGGCGAAACGAACGGATCGGCCTTCCGAGCGGTTCGTCGCATGCGCTGTATGTCGTCGTTTCATGCCCCTGCCGGGATTCCCGCCACACAAATATTGCCCCGGAAGCTGTTGCATGCGCTATTGGTAATCACGCCAAGTTATCCCGTCACGACATCTCCGATCCACCCTCACAAAACAACGGCGGTGCTTAACACCGGAAGGGGTGGCTGAACAATAGTCCTTCATGGGAACGAGAGAAGCAGAAAATTGTGTGCGTGCATACACCCACACCCACCACTAAGCAGGTTGGGTTAGGACTCCCGTGCGCTACGCTTTCAGCAGATCTACGTTTGGCCTGCCGCTCCTCAGGTTTCCGTACCTTCTTCCCAACCTCGTCGGGGGCGGGCTGGCGCTATGTTCAATTCCGCTGGTGTTCTTGTTCCTGCCGGAGACGCTACCCGTTCCTGAGGCGGCCGGCGTCCAATTGTAAGTGCTGAGAAAACAGCACATCTACTACCTCAAGAACAAGAGGGCTGTCGTACCGCGCGGTAGTGTTTTGTTCGAGTTCTCGCGGTAGTAACAATGCACAAATGTACATTGTGAGTGTGAGCCAGCCTGTCGGTTCTGTTTCCTTTTTTAATTTCACCTTGGTGGGATCTAACCTTTAGGAATTGGGGTTCGACTCTTCCATCCAATTCGTGGTGCCGAAATCTATGTTGGTACCTAGACATCTTCTCAGAATGATCGCGAGCGCACAGCGATGTAGCGGTGAGGGTTGAGAAATGTCGCCAACATTGTGCCGAAATGGTACTGCCTCTGGGCTATGCGCACTCAGTGCGACATGCACGAACCTGGCTGCATGACACCAACCACGTGGAGGTGGTCAGGCCTAAAGTACTGCGCTGATATCTTGAACAGGATGGTCTCCAGGATCACGCACCCATGCCGACCGATATCGTGACGCTCATCGTTGTGCCCGTACTCCCCCACCTCTCCCACCCACCAATAGGGTGCGGTATCGGGCCGCAGATTTTATCATTTGAAGTTCTCGAGACGCGCTTTCTTGCAGGATCTTCTCAGCCACCGCCGGTGCCCACGTCACCTCGCGTTTTTTATTTTTCAACGCGATCAGCACCAGCTTGGGCGTGCCCCCTCTCGGGCAAGACGAAGAGTCCGGCTCCCGTTCGGCCGCCGGAGAGGAAAGAAGCAACGGCGGTAGCGGAAGCACGTCGTCAACAAACGGGACCGAAGTGTCCCGGGGGCGCCACTCGTTGCTAGAGGAAGGACAAGGCGAATGCGCGACAAGCAGCAGCACCTGGACCGACGTGGAGCCGTTCAAGCGTAGGAGTTTGCTGGCCGCGGGACACGTCCGCGTCCTCCTGGTAGTGTACGGAATTTACACGGTGGGTTGTGCTTTTGCCACAAGAAGGATGGGGTGGCGGGGAGATTCTATGTGTTGCCTCCGGCATGAAACAAGGTGTTAAGCATCTCCTTCTCTCCTCCGTCTGTTCGTCGTCTCCAAGTTTATCATCTCTGGGTTCGAAGACCTTTTCGCGCTCTGGGCTCTCAGCACGACTCCCGCCGGGGGCTTGGATTGGTCGGCGGAGCAAATCGGACAGGTGGATGCTCTTGTGTTGGTAGTCTACGTTCCACGAACGTTGTCTGATATCCCTTCATCGCTTGGAATACAAGGAAGTTGGGGCGCTGTATTTTCACCTGGTTTGAAGTGATGTTGTGCCAAGAGTTTTCAATCCTTGGCGAAAAGGTAGTACTTCCGGCCTGTCCTGCGCAGGATTTCGGAGCGGGCATGGACCGACAGGAATCACGTAGGGGAGTACCCAGATGGTACGGGGCATTGTCCTGCCGGATGTCAGGTAACGAACAGACCTAGTTGGGCAAATGCTAGAGGAAGAACGTCAATGTCCGGCGTAAGCACCAAAGGGGGGGAAACGGCCTAACTGGATATTCAATTTCGCCTTGCTTCACCCCCTATCGCGTTGCATCGTGGAGTCTGCCACAGGTGTCATTTTATGCCGATCTTTCCTCTTGCATGCATTTGTTCTGGTTTTCTGAACGTCACAGGTCCTTCTTGCTTCTGGGCTCATGGTCTTTGTGTTCGAGCTGTTCGCTGTGCCTCTAGTCACCAAGCGGTTGGGCGTAACCACCTCACAGAGGCTGTCATCGGTGACTCTTGTGTTTGTCCTTCCCCTCGTTCCCGTGCTCGGACGTCTGCACAACACCGGGCACCTGCTCATGATTGCTTCCGTTGGTCTTCTATTCACGGTCTACTCGACATGTGATGCGGTAGGTGGTGAAAGTGACGGTCTTGCGATTCGGTAGCCAGAAACACCAGCAGGAGCCTCCGCCGTTGCCAATCGCGGGTCGTGGAGCGGAAATGCTAACCCGGAGAAAGGGACCGAACAGGGAAACTAAACAGCGCGTGACGATCCCGTCTCTTGCCTTTTCCAAAGAGTTGCCCGCAGTTGCATATTTAGCAGGGACGACACTCCTCAATTCCACCCCGCACGTCTTCCAGTCAGGTTCACCCCCATGCGCACGTACCCAACAAACGCTATATATATGCTTTGTCCCTCGCCTTTGCACTTGCGCATTCCCCCAGTTCTACACGTGCATTTCTTTCGCCATCAACAACGCCGCGGAACCGGAACGATGCGGCGAGGTGAATGGTTTGGCGGCGTGTGTTGCTTCAGTAGTCAGCGCGGTCGGCCCCGCTGCCTGGTCGGCGCTGTACGCCTTCTCCGTGGACGTGGCCCGCGGTAGGTCCCCGTTCCCGTTCCCGATCGACTTCCGCCTCGCGTTTTGGCTCATGGCCTTTCTGCGGCTCGTCGTGGCCATCCTTTCATGGAGTATCATCAAGAGCGACAAGGCCCACGAAAGGAGAGTAGACACCCCACCCGAAACCGTACAAGAGTAGTTTCCGGTGTTGCACTGCGAGAGCAACGTCGTACGACGATGAGAATACGGGCGAAGTGAGCGATGATAGAGATAGAGATGGTAGCGGTGGTGCTAGACACCTCCTCGAGCCGCGGCGGTTTCCCGGGTCCTGGACACACCCCGCACCAAATGAGGGAAGAACATGCTAACGGGCTACACGGCGGGAAGCTAGACGTCCCTGGCGACTAGGACACGGGGCGAGCGCGGGGATGGACGGTCTCAATAGAACTGTAGCTGAAGAGCAAACTTGCACCCCTTGTGCGTATGCCGAGGGTCGCCGTTGACACGTCTGCCAAGTTTGTTTGCCGCCGGCCAAATACTGCAGTACCGACCCGCCTGTACGAACCGACTGTTGTTTCGAGTGAGGACCTGGCTCTTCATGTAAATAGTCGCCAACATCGAGCATAGGTAACCACATCACACGTGGCGAATCGGCTCCACGAAACTCCCTCTACTGGGACGACACAAAGTCAACCGTCTAGACGTTGCTGTGGTGGAAAACCCGCCCGGATGGTGATAAGGACCAAACCGAGGATACACGAGAATTGGTTCCCTCTAGAGGGTAAATGCACTTACGTCGAGGGTTGGGTAAACGTTGTAACAGGCCCCGGGGGTAGCCCCGTCCTGAACTCAAGCTTAGTTACTGTTTTTCGAGACAGAGAGCTAGGGGAAGACGGGGAACGGCACTGATCTTGCTAGTTTCTCACGACCTTTCGCGTGCTGAAGACCGGTAATTCCCTGGTCCTGACAATACTGGGAGTTCCCGTGGGAGTGCCAACGAGACACGTGGGAACTCCAAGGGGACCGCGCTTGGGATTTCGAAGGAGACCGCGCTTGGGACGTCCCGGCGATCCGATGAGGCGCAAGGGATGTCCAAGTATGAAGTCCCTGTGGTGTCCCAAGCATCTCAACACCCAGACGCGTAGAAGTAAATGCACAATACTAGAAACAGATGGAGAGAGGACGCACAGAAAGTCACTTGGACCGCAACGCGCCGGCTACCATACAGTATTTTCCAAGCATGGGTGTGTGGTGGGCGATCGTCCCGCCTGGCGCCCCAGGTGTCCCATGGGTTGCCCGACGAGTAACATCGGACCTCCCATGATCCTGCTCGCAGTTGTATTGTTTGTTTTGGATTTGGCTTTCATGTTCGGGAAGGATGTCACACCAGGGGGACGGTTGAATTGATGTATAGTGGATTGGTTTATTTGCTA